AATTTCCTGGCTGGTGAACTTGTGACAGGACAGGGCATGGCAGAGCTGCACCAATTCTGCTTCCAGGCCTGGGCTCAATAACGGGAAGAGGCTATTCTCATTGTCAGTAAATCAGATCGGCAAGATTAGAGGCTTCTCACTGCCTCATCATGAGCTACTTGGGCAGGAGGACGAGTTACTGGAACTGGGAGGAAACAGAAACAATAAATGAAGCATGACTGTTAACATCTGGCCCTTGGCATGGGGTGAGAAGTAGCTGCAAGATGGGTTGTTTATGGTCCAGTCACTCACTTTATAGGGGCGAGAGGGCAGGAACAGCAGAGAATGAATCTCTGTGCAAACGTGTGTGTTCAAAGGGTGCAGCCTGATGCACAAAGTCCTAGATACACATACAGGATTGTATGTGATTACTGTTGACCCTCAGGCTTTGCAGGTTCCTTTGTACATGCAGGCAAGCCCAGGCAGAACAGGTAAGAGAGAAGGCCGGACACTTCCAAGAAGCACCCAGAGCCAATTAGCACCTCTTTGCATTGTGTTGATCTTGTCTCCATTCCAAACGCCCTACAGACCTGGGAAAACAAGGCATCTTGCATCAGCTACAAAGAAGAGGAGGTTTATAGAGAGCTCATAAAACACATTTGTGCAGCTGTGCTGGGAGCTGGGGTCAGCTCTGCCATGACAGCTTGTCACTGCAAGGGAGACTGGGCCAGATCTTCCCAGCAGCGGAGGTCACATCGCTGACTTCCTTCCTGGTAGCGGCTGGAGAAATATTTTGTAAAAAGAAAACAGAAGCCAGACAATTAGCTTCTGTGGGCAGAATGAGCCAGACAAGCCCCTCACTCAGCAATGAAGCAAGGCTGGGTGGATGCTTTTTCCCAAGAACCTTTTGGCAGGCTGGCAGGCAGGCAACCCTTTGGGAGTGTCTCAGGCTCCAGGGCCAGCAGAAGGCTGCATCGGGATTTTAGGATTGACTAAAGAAGACTGACTCCTGCCAACCTAGCAGTTCGAAAGCAAGAAATTGCAAGTAGATAAATAGGTACCACTTCAGTGGGAAGGTAACAGCGTTCCGTGCGCCTTGGTGTTTAGTCATGCCGGCCACATGACCACGGAAACGTCTTCGGACAGCGCTGGCTCTTCGGCTTTGAAACGGAGATGAGCACCGCAACCCTAGAGTCGGATTCAACTGGCTTTCGAGCAAGGGAACCTTTACCTTTCCTAAAGAAGACTGAAAGCAGAACAATCAAACTAAATATTTCCACAGCCATGTTTATGTTGCAGCAAAATCAAGCAAAAATCCAGAGGTCCCTTAAAGACTCGCAAATTTTAATCTCAGCATAAATTTTTGTGAATCCATTCTCATTTCATCAGTTGAAAGGAGTGTACACCAGTTTTAGAATTACAAACAATGGAAAGGTGGGAGTGGGGAGATGTTACCAAAAAACACAACAGTTAGAAATAATGTCTATGTTCCTTCTTATCCCTCATGAAGCCACACCTTTTCTGAGAAGTTTTCGACCTTAGGACTCAGCCACATCCAGTGTTCCTTCTAAGCTGAGTTAGTGCTCACACATTTTTTCCTTAGCTCAGGAAGGATGGCTCCAGAGCAAACTAATTTATGCAGTAGCCAAATTGCTTGCTCACAACTTTAATGCCAGGAGCTCACAAAGTAGAACTTTTGCTCACAAGACTCCACAGCTTAGAGGGAGCATTGGCTGCAACCACAGCATACATACATATATCTGTGTTTCTTTACAGAAACTGTCTTTTGGCTGTGCTACTCTGTTAAGTCCCATGTACACTGGTGGTTCCAGAGAAATAAAGCATCATCATACAACTGCCAGATGTGTGTCTTCTTCCAGGGCAAGAAGGAGGCAGACTCTTCTCCCAAAGTGAGAGGAAGCAGGACTAGAATCAAAGGCAAATTATTTTCTAGGAATTACAATAAGTGGTGATAAGTATGGTTTCACTGGGTTAAGAATTTGGTGTGAAACTTCCTCTTTCAACTTGCTCAGTTGTCAGCAGATCCTATGAAAATCTAAAGAGATGTTCCATGCATCAGATGTCAAAAATCCGGCAGTAGTCCAATCACTGATGGGCACAGCATTTCATGGTGCACAGTTCCCAGAGCAGTGGCAAATACAAATCCAGCACTGCCTTCTAGTGGGGTTTCCTGTGTCAGAGATACTCCATGCAAATTTTTAATATACAAATTAATATACATTGCATACAAAAAATTGTGCCTGGGTGTGAATTTCATAGACATTTAAATTTGATATATTTCAAATTGGGTGGCTGGAGACTGTAGCTGTTTGAAACTGGAAGTTAGCATTGGGTGTTTTAGTATTTGAGAGCCTAAGTCAAAACCAACCAACAATAAGCAGTGCTGACCCAGATTCATATTCAAAATTACAGTACATGTGGAACACAGCAGGAAACAAGTAACTTTTATTAATTTGATTTCTTCAGACTCCAGAGAGAGGCAGGGAAGCATCCCCAACGTGATCAGAAATGGTGTGTGTGGGAAATAGGCTGAAAGCGCTTTGTCAGGGATAATAGCCCCCCCCCCCCTCCTACAGCCGTGGCTGCAAGGTACTTAAACAAAAGTATTGGTCTATCGATCCTGGTCTTGCGCATGATTTGAATCCTCAGGTTTGTTAAACGGTGCTTCCCCCCACACTTTCTATTGGAAATTGTTTTGGATATTGGAAGGGGGAGGAATAAGAGGTTAATTAGACACTGCAGTTATTTAGTTAAAAGTAGAATCAGTTCCAGCTAACCGGTACTTCTGGCCAGTGCTCAACTCAGCCATGGTCAGGTAATCAGCGCGCGGGGGGGGGGGGTCGATATCATTGCAAAAGGTTAATAACCCCTCCTTCAAGGACGCCCCTGCGATCAGTCTCCAAGCTCCCCTCTCCCAGCCCTCATTTCCCTTAAAAACAAGACTGATCGCAGATCTTCCAGCATCACGTGTGTTTTGATCGTGATTGTTGTACAAAGGAAAGCTGAACGTGCTTTGTGACGTTGAATGTATCCCTCCGTTTGCAACGTAGGCATACTAACAACACTACAGGGTTGTTGTAAAGCACTCTTTGCCTCAGCCCCACTTCCAACTTGCAATATTCACATTAGGGCAATAGGCTGTATTACGGGGCTGCAGTAAACTTCGCCCTCCCTCCCTGTGCCGCTCTCAGAATCAATACCTCCCCGCCCCTCGCCAATCATCACGTGCCCCTAATGTGGATACTTAAACTGGCAGCTCAGGGCCCGCGTACACTAGGAAGACTTTAAACTGGGGCGACCAACAAGATTTGCAAAAAAAGTCTGAAGAGTAGAAAAGAGGAGGGGGGATATATCCCCCCCAACCGGAGTAAAGTTGTCTGCGCTTGTATGATAATAATCGCAAATAGACGGTCTTTGTAGGACAACTGATAATTTTGGTTAACAAATTAAAAATAGCATTTCTTACGTGGATTAAACCGTGGGTCAGAAAGAGCATCCCCCCCGCAATAGGTCATACTGGGAAGACGGTGCTGCCCAATCACACGCTAAAATCCTGGCTTTCTCCGTTGTTTCTTATATTCTTTTTACCCAGCAAATGAGCGGAAAAAATGTTGTACAAAGAAACCAGGAAACCCCTTTTCAACTCAACGAAACGGTCAATTTAGTTCGTCCATTAACGAAATCTCCTGCGCGATATAAAGCACAGGAAGGCTAGGATCCGACTGTAAATCAGCTTTCTCGTGTGGCCATCAATCGATTCCGAACTCGGGCACAAGACAAGTGCCTTTCTCTATTTCACTCGAGAGAAGTCTGACACATGTGCATATAAAACTGCCTTCGCCTTTTTTACCCGTGCACAACGTTTTATGTGGCCTGTGTGATTCGTTCGAAGAAGGTCACACAGCCACTTCCGTGGGCAGAACTCATATGTCCCACTTCAGTCGCTTTCCAGCCCTGCTGTTGGCGTGCACGTGTGAAAAACATAAAGGCTTGGTGTTCTGAATCGATGATACAGGAAGATTGATTTGCAGTCGCATTCTAACCGCCCCTTGCAGTAAACAGGTGATTTCGTGAATAAGCAAAACTAAACGGGCAGAGGGTGAGTTTACGAGCGCAGTTCGAGATTCTTGACTTTTGCAATGCCCCTATGATTTCAGTCCGGCACAGCCATCAATCGATTTGAAATCCGGACACATAAGTACTTTTTAAACCGGCATTTCTGCTCTTTACACATGCAGAGCCAGAGCCTCAGAAGTGGCTAAATGTTAATTGAGCAGGGAAGATATCCTGCTCTTCTTCTATGTATCAGATATCAGAATTGTGTCCTCAACAAAGGTAAAATGTAAAAACTGATTATGATAAATGACTTCCTGATTTCTTGACAATGCACCCCCCTTTTCTGTACCCTTGCGCCTATATAATAAAATTATATAAAGATATATATTGGGAGGGGGGGGGAATGGCTAAATGACATGTGTGAAAACTATGCGAGGTTTTATCACGCGTGGTGACCTGGGTTAACACCGATATCACAAACAATACAACCGGGCAGATCATTGTGCCTCTGGCTGGCATACACATTTGCAGCGCAGCCACTGAGGTGCGCAGAGCGGGGTGGGGGGGGGGGGGGGGGGGTAGGGGTGTGTGTCACGGTTCTTTCTCATGCTGCCCGAAATAAGGGTCCTGAATGATGCGCCGGTCCACGAGACGCGCAACTTAAACCAGCATGTCCAGGGAGCGGGTGGTTTCGAAACGCTGAAATTCGCGCCATCCTACCATTTCCTGCAACCGAGGCACACTCGGCCCTGGCAACTACAGCTCCCAGAATGCTGTGAAAGGAAGGCGTAAAGATCGCGACGCCTCTAAGTATGCTGGGAATAGTAGTCCGGCCTCCCAGGGAAAGAATGAATTTTCTTTGGACTCTGCCCATCCGGGGCAAGAAACCTACTGCAAGACTGAGGCAGACAGAAATGTTGCTGTTGGGCAGAAAGGTCGGGGGCTGTGCTCTGTGCAAGGACCTCCGAGCCCTCCTCTGCTCAGGGCGTGCACGCGTCGCCACCCAAAGCGAAGACAGTCCTAGGATCAGCAGCCAGGCTCTTTGCCGTGGGTCCTGCAATGACGCCCGGCAGTCCACGTGCTGGTGGTTCAAAGGGTTAGGGGGGACTACTTCATATTGGCACCTGGGTGTGGCCACCCCCCTGAAATTCTCTGACTATCGTTACTACAGCCACGAATTTAGAAGCCGCTCGATGCAACACGAGCTCCGCTATTCCTGCCAGGGAGTTGGTGCTTGCCCTGCTCCGCCTGCATATGGTCAACCAGGTATGGGCACCCTTTTGATCCATAAGAACCAGTACCAGACCTTTAACAAGGCCGTAGCCCATCCGAAGTCTAAATGGCAAAGCCTTAGTGCCATCCCTAAACATTCTTGGCTCTCTAGAATCAAATCAAGGTGTCACAGCCAATCTGTAGCCAGCCAACACTGTACTCTTCTACCCTGGTGGCACCTACGGCATACCCCCCTTGCTCCTGCACTCAGGATTGGTGCTCACGGTTATCACATAACAAGTCTTCCTGCGGAGACTGAGCATCATGTGGTGGATCTGCGCAGTGACACCGTGACTCGGCCCAGCCCTGAAATGAGGCAAGCTATGGCTCAGGCGGAGGTGGGAGATGATGACTACGGGGAGGACCCCACAGTCAATGGTGAGTCTTGGGAAAGAAGTGTCTCCCCGGGTATATAAAGGAAAGTGTGGCCCAGACTGCAGGAGTGCTCTGGAGTGCTCAGCCTGAGGATAGTTGGTCTGAACCCCAGCAAATGGTTGACACATTATGCCCCCCAAATGTCTTGGGTGTGCTTGCAAAACCAGCCTGCCAAAGCAATGGCAGAGCATCAGAGAGGCTTTGTATGGCAGCAGCTGCCCAGGAAACACACATTGGACTGAGGTCTGGTCATAATACAGGATGGAGCGGGGTGGGGCATCTCTAGTTCTCTGTGACGACAGTGGGAGGGATGAGTATTGGCCAGAGCCTGTCTACATGCAAGGCTCCTCTGGGCTCCAGTAGTGGTATTAAATATATTGTATCAAATAACAGAGAACTGTAAATAAACTCATTGTTAAATGTGAGAGAAGTTCAAGTCACCTGTGTCAGACCTGTAGCAACTGGGTTGGGAGGCTTTAAAACCCAAAACTAAGCTCATTTTGTGGATCAGGCCATGGCTGTGATCTTATCTTAACCCTGCCCCCCTCTCCCGTTTTTCTGCTGCAGAGCTTCAGAGTGTCATTGCTGACCTCCTGGGAAAGGAAGAGGCTATATTTGTACCCACTGCCACCATGGCTAACCTCATTGCTGGTACGTTTATAGGATGTAGTCAAGAGTATTGGGACAGATTCTGGGGGGTGAGGATTGCTGTATTATTATTATTTACTGATTCTATAGCACCATCAGGGAGGGAAGGCAGCATGGTATAGCCCAGTCTCATCGGACCTTGGAAGCCTAGCAGGGTCAGTATTTGGAAGGGAGGCCACCAAGGAAGACTCTGCAGAGGAAGGCAATGGCAAACCACCTCTGCTTCTCACTTGCCTTGAAAGCCCCTTGCTGAGGTCGCCGTAAGTGGGCTGCAACTTGATGGCACCTCACACACGCACACACGAGGGCAGTGAACAACAAGTTTTCATAAATACAAGCAATCTCATAAATATATATAAATACATAATTACATTGTAGCGCCATCAGTGTATAATAATGACCAATAAAAGGTTCCCTGCTCCAAGGAGCATACTCTAGACCGAGAATCACCAGGAAAGCATTTTCACTGAGAGATGAGAGCTCCTAGCTACTGTGCCTAGAAGGTACTGGAGAGAACAAAGGAAGCATTCCTGACTGCTCTGGCCTAGGTGAATTCCAACGGTGATGTAAACTGGAACAGTAATATACCTATTTGGAGAGAACAAAACTCACACACCTTTCTCCTATTCTCCTTCCATAACCTGGTGTCTACACCACCACCCCCGGCCCCACCATGGATTCTCCCATTCTGACAGTTGCCCTCTTTTGTCACAGTTATGTGCCACTGTTGCAGACGAGGGGCGCAGCTTCTACTTGGGAGGGAGGCTCACATCCATGTTTTTGAGCATGGAGGGGTTGCACAGGTAAGTGGTGCTGGGTGAGACCTGGCTGATTCAATTCTGCCTTCTTTTAGCATATAGCTTTCTTATATCTTTGGCAGGTTGTACTCAAGACCATCTGATATTGGAGGCTGTTTTCATATAGAATGTTGAAGTGCATTTAAACTTTTGCTTTTTTTGAGTCTTGTGTGGATATTTCTAATATGAGAGCAAATTCCGAAGAACTACAGAATGCATATCCCAGTCATTGTAGGCTTTATATTCACATTAGGAGCCAACTTATGTATGACATGGGATGCGACAGAATTTACTGGCATATTGGATTCATGGGAACCCCAGAGCTAGCCTCATAGTTCTGCAGCTGTTCTAGAGACAGTGTTGGGGAGAAAAAAATATGTCCGACATACCTCTGGAAAAGCCAACTGAATGAGGAACCAAATTAAAACAAATACATGGTGGAAAAGTATATCTTCCAGTACATGTCCTGATGTATGTGGGGATGGCTACAAAGGCCATGTACTGGCAGTTACTAAAGCAGATGATGTCACTGTCTTGCAAAGTACCTATTAGAATGGTGGGACCTAGGTGATACGGGACCTAGTTTAACAAGGCTTTACCCAGACAGGGTGATCATGGGGTGGGGAATATAAATTTTTGTTGTTGTTCAGTCGCACAGTCGAGTCCGACTCTTCGCGACCGCATGGACCAGCTCCCGCCAGGCCCTCCTGTCTTCCGCTGTCCTCTGAAGTTAAATAAATACATACCTGGTAACGTACTACCCCCTACTGGCTAATTGTTTAAACTGCACTAGCTTCTTGGATTGTCAGGACTTCATTATGGGCAAGGAGCATATGATAGTTACAGTTCGCTACAAAACCACTGAAGGATGGTTATTTTTCCTTTTTACTGAAGATAGGTCATTTTAAGAGGCCCACATCCATGCAAGCACACAGCTTCCTGAACAGGCAGGATACCGCATGTCAGCACCGAGATGGGGCCTCTAAAAGGTGACCCTATCTTGATTAGGAAAGAGGAAGAAAATACTCAGACATCCACATTTCCTGTAAACTTAATAGTTCCTCTAGTGTCGTCCCCAAACCAATAAGCACAATCTACCACAAACTAACATTTTTCTAAGGAACTCAGGCCTCCATTTTATCCCTACAACGATCTTGTGTGGTAGGTTAATCTGAGAGAAAGTGACTGTCCTAAGGTAACCCAGTGAGTTTGAAAGCAGAGAGAAAGGATTTAAACCTGGGACTCTTCAGTCCAAGTCCAGCACTAACCACTAGTATGCTGTATCTCTAAATGCAAACGAGCCCTGTATTCCTAGGCTTCCTCACCGGAATTTGACCTCATCTCTGTTTGATGTGAAACCTTTAGGATTCTTATTAGAGGGAACACATGTCACTTACTGTATGTTTTTTAGAACTCTGAATTTGCCCTGTTGCTGGATTTAAGAAGAGTCATATTCTTGGACATGGGATTAAGATCCCACTGGTTAACAATAATCTTACCTAGATATGCAGAATTTACTTTGTCCTGAACGCTGACAGATGCCTTGCCTGTTCGTTATACTTGGAAATATGTGTATCACCATCAAGCCAACACTTTTTAAAAATTCAGTTGATCCAGATCAGCAATTTTGTCCTACCAGAAGCCATTGTTAATCTACTACTAATAGCCAAGAGGCCCCCTCTGTGCGGATATCTAAATCCTCACATCAGGGGCACTGGGGGGGGGGCAGAGATATTTTCCTGCACACTTGTGGCAATCCCCAGATGTACAGAAAAATCTGAAAAGTGTAAAAAACTATACGGGGGATACTTAAATCCCCCCAAAAGTAAAAAAACGTTCCCTGCGCATGCACACAGAACGCCCTGGCAACTGTCTTGTCGCTGCCACCAGGAAGGGGGGGCGGGAGTAGAATTGGCAGTCTGGCAGCTGTGGGCCACTCAGACCCTGCCGCCACTGCTAGGGAGGGGGGTGCAGGAGAAGGCTTGGCGTCCGGGAGCTGTGGGCCACACAGGCCTCGCTGCCGCCGCCACTAGGGAAGGGGGTTCAGGAGAAGGCTTGGTAGCTGGTGGCTGTGGGCCACTCAAGCCTCGCCGCCACCGCTGGGGAGGGGGGTGCAGGAGAAGGCTTGGCGGCCAGCAGCTGTGGGCCACACAGGCCTCGCCGCCACTGCTGGGTGGGGGGAAGAAGGCTTGGCAGGCCGGCAGCTGTGAGCTGCTCGGGCCTCACCGTCAGTGCTGGGGAAGGGGGGGGAGGAGGGAGAAGGCTTGGCAGGCCTAATGGGCCCGCCTGCTGCACTCACCTGCTGCCACTTCCTCCTCCTGCTGAGCTCATCCTGCTTCTGCAGGCCAGGAGCTCTGAGGAATACTCCCCCCCCCCGTGCACGAGTATCACGGGTCCTACTTCTTGTAGAATACTATTTGCAATCATGACATGAATTGAACTATTTATAGGAAGCTTCCTTGTGGATCTTCTGGATTATCTGCAGGCCGTCCCTCTTTTGTTTTTCCCAGTGCTCACCCACCTGTCTCTGGCATTCTGGTTCTAAACCAATTACTTTGCTCTGTGTTCCATTGATTTCAGTAGGACTTCTTACTGTTATAATGTGGCTTAGAATTAAGGTGCAAGACATTTTGTGAGTTCCACCTTAGGTAAGTCTAGCACAAGGAAACTGCAGGTAGTTTGCAACAGAGGTGGTTTACACCTTCCAAACGTTCCTTTATGTTTTCCCCAACACCCCAGAAGGTTTCTTGCCATTAATTAACCCTGTCATCAGCATTTACAATGTGAGTCACCCATAGTGTTAGCAGTCTAAAGATGTAGCCGACCTGGTATACACATAGCTTGTAGCTGATATGTAGGCAGTAGATGAGTCTCTGAGTTTTCTTTTACCAATTTGTCATCTTGAAGGTTCACTGTATTCCTCAGAATTGATTTTCTGCACATGCACACACAAATCCCCTTTACACTTTCAGTGTGAACCAGATCACATCTTTAGCACTGCAGTCAAGGTCATCCAGAGAGGTCATGTGCAATGCTTCCTCTAAGCTGTGGAGTCTTGTGAGCAAAAAATCTACTTTGTGAGCCACTGGCATTAAAGTCGTGAGCAAGTGATTTGGCTACTACATAAATTAGTTTGCTCTGGAGCCTTCCTTCCTGAGCCAAGACAAAAATGTGTGTGCTGGAGGCTAAAAAACTGTGAGCTAGCTCACACTTACTCAGTTTAGAGGGAACACTGGTCATGTGTGAGTGTACGTATGTGACTTTGCAAACAGAATTTCATTTTCTGCGTATCTGCACAGAAACTGTGCACCAGATCTCTCATTACATATGGATACCATCAGCTCATTTCACTATTTCATCAGCACAAGGTGTTTGTGTTATATAGATCTCACCTTGTTGACACAGCCTCACCTGCCCATTTTGTTCTGGAACAGGTGGCTGGAGTCCATTCAGAGACATTGCAGGACCTGCCAGATGGGACCTTCAGGCTTGATGAACTGGAGCATAAGATCCAGCAGAGCTACGGAAGTCAGTACTACCCCCGGCCTGAGCTTATCTGCCTTGAGAATACCCATTGCTCAGCAGGGGGACGGGTCCTTCCCCTTCAGTACTTGCAAGAGGTGAGTATCCATCCATCTTCAGCCTGACTCTTCTGACCTATGGAAATCCATCACATTTCCTAGCTGAATGGTGACCTTTTGTCACTGGGGCTTGCTTAGAGTAATCAGTCACATTAAGTTATCTTGGTGTTGTTTTTAAATCAAAATAGCAGAATCTCCCTTGGTTGGGCTCAGTGTTGAATAAACAATTTCCTGTCTGGAAATCTTGATTCCTCTGACCTTTGGTGCCTGCTGCCCAGCTAGACTCTAAGGCTGCCATTTAATATTCTTCTGGAACTCTGTGACGTCCTCCTTATTGGGGAGGACTGGTTTCCATTTAAAAGTTCTTTTTAATTTGTTTAACAGGGTAGAATCTGCTGCCACCAGGAAATTTTAAGGATTTCCAAACCTTTATGCTTTTACTATTGCTCTTCTTTATTTGGTAGACCGAGTTCAAGGCTTACAGGGATCTATGTGGTCCTGGGAAGTATTTCATTCAGAGCTGGTATAAACTTGGATGAAAGAGGATTTATTGAAATAACTACTACATAAGAGGGTTGTACAATGTAACTAGTAATGTATAAATGATGAACAATTGCTTTGGTATCACACAATCTTATCCCTCACTGACAGGGATCTTTCAGGTACCTTTGTAAAACTTGTTTAACTCAAGGTCATATATGTTCACTGTTTCTCTCCAGTTTATCAGGACATACGGCCTTTCCTATAACTTGTCTTCAATTAAACTTTCATTTACTTTTCCCTATACACTCAGCTTTCCTTCTGTTTCTCACTGAACTACCTCAGCTGTCCGCTTATAACTGCTTCAACACAGAACTCTTTGTCTAACTACTAACTGAACATCAACTGTCCACATCTAACTGAAACTACTGACTGACTCACATACTCATCCAACCAGATTCACTTCCAAAGCCCCTGCCCCTCTCTGTCAACCACCAATCATACCACACTGGCCTCTTTCAACCACTCTAGTCTATCTACCACAGCCATGCAACCAAACTTTTAAAGAGACACACACAGAGAGAGAAACAAGGAATTGTTACAAACTCGAGCTACCTTTTGCCGATTTAATGAGGCCTCAGGATCAGTGTGCTGCATAAAGTAGTCCCCCAAATGCTCATGAGTAGAGCCACCCAGCTTTGGAGTACCTTCTTATTTTTTATTTATTTATTTATGTATTATTTATTTATTTTGACTTATATTCCGCCCTCCCCGCAAGCGGGCTCAGGGTGAATCACAACAGCAGTTTTACAAAGTCATTAAAACAATCATAGTGATTAAATAGTTAAAACAATTAAAACAAAAGGCACAGTAATTTAAAAACAGGTAGCACTATAAATAGAAAGATGCAATAATATCAAATGACCAAAGCAGCTAGGCTGTAACCCAAAAAATGTGGAGATCTTCTTAGTCTGGGCCGTACAGAGATGGAAAGCTTCAGCAAGGGAGGCCGAATAATTTGACGCCTGCTGCCTCACCCAAAAACCTGGCAGAACAGCTCCATTTTGCACACCCGGCAGAACTGTAATAAGTCCTGCAGGGCCCTGATCCTCCAGGCCGGGCCCAGGGCAGAGAAGGACCTGGCCCTGATCAAGGCTAAGCGAATGTCCTTTCAGCCAGGGACAACCAGCAAATGCTGGTCTGCCGAGTACAAAGCTCTCTGAGGCACATATAGGGAGAGGCAGTCCCTCAGGTACGTTGGTCCCAGGCCACTTAGGGCTTTAAAGGTCAGTACTAGCACCTTGAAATGGATCCGGTACTTGATTGATAGCCAGTGCAATTGGCATAGCACCAGCTGAATGCATGTCTACACAGACGTTGCAGTCAGCAGGTGCACTGCCTCATTTTGCACTAGCTGGAATTTCCAGATCAGCCTCAAGGGTAAGCCTGCATAGAACGAGTTACAGTAATCAAGCCTGGAAGCGACCATTGTGTGGGTCACTGTAGCCAAGTCCTGGGGGAAGAGGTAGGGAACCAGCTGCCTGATCTGCCGGAGATGATAAAAGGCCGACCTGGCAACTGTGGTAACCTGGGCCTCCATAGAAAGTGAGACGTCCAGGATTACCCCTTGGTTCCTCACTCTTTGGGCCAGCACAAGTCGTGCACCGTCCAGGGCAGGGAGCCTGATTCCTGACTCAACTCCCCCTCGGCTCGGGTACAGGACCTCCATCTTTGCTAGATGGAGCTTCAACCAACTCTGCTGTAACCACCTAGCCACGGCCTCCAACACCCTGTCCAGATTCTCTGGGATGGAGTCCGGGCAGCCATCCAACAACAGATAGAGCTGAGTGTCATCAGCATACTGGTGGCAGCCCAGCCCAAACCCCCAAACCAAGTGGGCAAGGGGGAGCATGTAGACGTTGAACAGCATTGGCAAAAGGTACCAGTGGGTATTGCGGGGAGACCCTCTCGCCAAGCGCCACCCTCTGTGTCTGACCACGGAGAAAGGAGAAAAAACATTGTAAGGCAGCCCCCCGTACTCCTATGTTGGCAAGGTTGATTACTAAGATAGTAATCAACCGTGTTGAATGCCACTGTTAGATCTAAGAGCAACAGCAGCCCCGCCCCGATCCAGGTGTCTCTGGAGGTCATCAGTGAGGGCAACCAGCACCATCTCCATCCCATGGCCAGGGTGGAAACCAGACTGGAATGGATCAAGGATGGATGCATCATCCAAGAAGGCCTGAACTGCAGGGCCAGGACTGCAGGGTCAAATGATGGTTTCTTCAAGAGCAAACAAACCACCGCTTCCTTCAGTCCCACTGGGAATGTCCCAGAAGAAAGGGGCAAGCTGATAATTTCTCTTGGGGGACTCGGATACTATCCCCGCAGGTGTTAACTAGCCAGGATGGGTATGGGTCAAGGAGGCAAGTAGTAGGCTTCACAGCTGCTAGGATCTTGTCGACATCCCCCTGAGTCAGTTGAAGTGGTCCAACACTGGACCTGAGGACAGGCAAGGGGCTTCCAGTTCCTTTATTGTATCAGCTGTGGTTGGGAGGTCCTGGTGGAGTGACATGCCTATCTGAGAAATAGTTCACAAATGCCTCACAGCCAGTAGCCAATTCCCTACCATTTTGTTTGACTTGTGGCAGTGTAGTTAATGATAGAATAGTTGCTCAGCAACTGCCTATTACAAGTCTTCAGAGTGCTGACTGTGTTCCGTTCTTTACACAGATGCATCAGCTTGCACACCAATATGGGCTGAAGATACATCTGGATGGGGCCCGGGTGCTTAATGCCGCAGTGGCCCTGGGAGTGCTGCCAAGTCACATCACCCAACACTGTGATTCCGTCTCCCTGTGTCTCTCTAAGGTGGGCAAGTGTTGCTGAGGCTCTGCAAAAAGTGGGCAAGAGTGCAATTATGGCACCCATGACGTTTCATCACGTGGCCCACTCAACCATGATCTGTCCTTGGATTCACAGCAGAGCAGCAGAAGGGGGTGTTTTGCCAGGCTGTACATGGACGTGGGGGGGGGACAGGTTCTCCAACTATGGACAGGGTCTTTGGGAGGAATTAAGGGACTGCGCACATATGGAATACCAGGGTTGCTATGCAGAGCCAGGCAAAGGCATCTCTTGCCTTGAAAACCCTGTGAGGTTGCCATAAGTTGGCTGTGACTTAACTGCAAAAGAATACACACCAAAGCACAGTACCCATTTCTCTTTGTGTCCCTCAGGGTGTGGGTGCACCAGCTGGAGCCCTGCTAGCTGGACGGAGAGAATTCATTGTCGAGGCCTGGCGTGTGCGGAAGCTTCTTGGAGGCGGGATGCGCCAAGCTGGGGTTCTGGCAGCAGCTGCCCTTGTTGGATTGAGACACATGGAGGAAACACTGCGGAGGGATCACAACAATGCCAGAAGCTTTGCTGAAGGTGCATGTCTTGTAAGGAGAGGGGGAGACAAGGGCTCATCCCCACAAGTAAGGTTCACTGCTCCCTTCCTCGTACTCATAGTGAACTCACTGCCATGCACGCATTGAAGCTGCCTTATACTGCCTCAGAGCATTGGTCTACCAAGGTCAGTATTGTTTGTTTTGAGTGGCAGCAGCTGTCCAGAGTCTCAGGCAGAGGTCTTTCACATCTCCTGCTACCTACTACCTGCCTGAAACTGGAGATGCCAGAGATTTAACCTAGGACCTTCTGCATGCAAAACCAGATGCTCTACCACTGAGCCATAGCTACTCCCCCAAGATGGGTCAAGATAGATGGTTCTTCTCTGGTGCTGGATTTGAGTCCCCTTTCATTCTGATTTCTGCAGAGAGGCTTCTTCCCATTGTCTGGTGAGAATCCCTGCCCATTTTTCCAGAGTCCCACCTTTGTAGTGATAGAACATTCTCAGGGGGAATCTCATGCTTGCAATTCTCCAGCCTTCCAACAGCCAACGTCTTCCCTTGCAGGAGTCTACAACCTTGGGTCTCCTCTCTGCTCTATAAACCCAGCCACTGTGGAGACCAATATCGTCATGATGACAACATCGGGCTCTTGGCTGGCTCCTGCCAAACTGTGTGAGCTCATGGAGGCTGTGAGTGAAGAGGAAGTTGCTACCACAGGCCAAGCCGTTAGCGTGCGGCTCTTCCCATGGGGTGAGCATTCCCTGCGTGCAGTCTGGCACTGTGATGTCTCTGCTCAGGACACGCAGTTAGCTGGAAGCAAGTTGCGCTTTGTGCTGGACAAGTGTGAGCGGGAGCAGGTGCAGGTCTGCTGAAGCCAGATGTAAACTGGCATTTCTGAAACTCAGCATGTAAGCCTGTGATCGGTCAGCAGTGGCCTGGCTAGAGGAAGCAGAAGCCATAATATACCAGCAGAGGCTCAAAGAAAAGCAGGTGTCTGGGTTTCTATTCTGGCTCAACAACTCTTTTATCCTTCTTATAAGCACTGCTGGATGCTCGGCTGAATCAGCCCATGACAAAAAGCCTACGGCCTCTCTTTGCTGACCCCAATAATCTCTTCCATACTAAGCACAAAAAGCTTTTCACAGAAGGGGTTCTAGTCACTTAATGACCTACCCACCTGTCCTGTTCCCCAGCCAAGTAACATGGGTCCTCTTTTAGCCTTGCTTCCCCATGAAGAAGATGCAGGGCTTTGTTTCTCGAGGACGTACTAAGCCTGCTTGAGTGAGGACATCTTCCAGCTGCGGCCTTTTGTGAGCCACTCTGGTGGTTGCGTTGTGGTTGGAGGAGTCCAGTTTCAACAGCACAAGTGGGGCCTACATGCTTTGCACCACTCAATTCATGAGCACATCTGGAAGCAGCATCACTAGGTGGCTTTAGGGAAGGATCAAGAGACCCAGCAGAGCAAACAGCCTGCATTTGCTTCCCCTTGACTACTGTGCTGTAGCCCCTTACGGACACTTTGTGAATGCCCCAAAGCAGAGGGCTGCTTTCAGTACCTGTGTTAGCTTTGGATAAATAACTGGGCGATTAGGCAGGACAGCTGACTGGAACTTCCGTGGTCGGAGGCAATGTACCTGTAAATATCAGGGGAGCTCTGGTGTCTTTGTGCCCTGCTGTAAGCTTTCTGGTTGGGTACTGTGGGAGACAGGCATGACGGACTCAGATGTCCTGCCCTTGGGGTGATCCAGCAGGGCTGTCTGACATTCTGATGTGCCCTTTTACGCTGCCTGCCTTCCCAGCTCCTGTCTTGTCTGCAGCGCTGTATTCTTCATTTGCCAACATAGTAAAGGTTCTTAACTGTTTGAAAGGAACTGGCATGAAAACAGCAAGTCTTACCAGACCCTTTTATTTAAAGAGTTCCCAGGTTCATCAAGGGGGGCAGACACAAAAACAAACTTGGGGCGGAAAATAAATCTTACCGGGCCCAATGGGGGGGGGGGGGGGGGGCAGGGCAAATGGGCCATGGCTGCTGCCAGAGGTGGTGGGGGAGGTTGTACGGCATCGGCCCCTTGCCTCCCTTAGCGGCCCACATATCAGCAGCTGAGGAAAGGAACTCTTAAGCACAGCCCCTCGTGGTATTCTGCTGGGCACTCTTTGTCAACAGGGGCTCCCCCTCCCTCCTACCCACTCAGTTTAGCAGGTCCGCAGGGAGATCCTGCTACTTTGCTGCCCCCTCCCCTGATTCTGTCACTCACGTGTACGTTGCAGTTACAGGAGGTGGGAGTGCTGTCAGCATGCGCCACAAGGAGGATACTAGTGAAGGGCCGGGTGGTGTCAAAACCCTGGCAACGCTGCACTCCCCCCTTCCCTGCCTCCCTCTCCAAGGATCAGATGACCACTGAACATGGGTCAGGGGCCAGGCCGAGTCCCCAAGCTGCCAGGAGAAGGAGGATGCCAGCCAATACTTCGGTGCCAAAGGAGAGCCAGGCAAGTGCCAAGGACCAGCCAAAGGCAATGCGGACGTGCTCAAAGCGCTGCCGGTCAAACATCTGCACCGTCTCTGTGAACGCGGCCCTGGAGTAGCAGATATAGATGGTGGTCCCTGCCAGTGTCAGCAGTGCTGAGCAGGGAGGAAAGGGGGAAGAAGAAGAGATTGGATTTATACCCCGCCCTTCACTTGGAGTCTCAGAGCAGCTTACAAACTCCTTTCCCTTCCCCTCCCTACAACAGACACCCTGTGAGGTGGGTGGGGCTGAGGGAACTCTGACGGAAATGCTCTTTTTCAAGGACAGCTGTGCCAGAACTATGGCTTCCCCAAGGTCACATCAGCAGGTGCAAGTGGAGGAGTGGGGAATCAAACCCGGTTCTCCCAGATTAGAGTCCGCACACTTAAACACTACACCAAACTGGGAAGCATTAGTAGAGCAGCAGGTTCAGCAGCAGAAATTCAGTTCAGCCAGTGGCAGTAAATAAAACCTCCCTGCTCAGAAACGAGGAGCTCCATGATTGTCCCCTCCCCATTGTATCGCCACAAGGACCCTGGAAGGTGGGTAAGGCTAAGAGAGAGAGTGGCCCAAGGTCATCCAAGGATTTTCATGGCTGAGAGGGGGTTTGAACATGGGCCTGCCTAGTCACAATTCAGCACTGCCTACTATGCCACACTGGCTTTCTGTCCAGTTAACAGGACACTAGGGTGGCTGCCATCTCCATACCCCACTTGTGAATTTGGGTGATTTGGATTATTGTTTTTGGAAGAGGACAGCCTGGCTGAGATGGATCTTTGCTGTGATCAGGAAGCCAATAATTATTGGGACTCTTCTGTGAACTGGTTCCATTTCCAACTCCATTTTGTAGCTGGCTGCAAGCCCCCCAGAGGACAATCATTTGCCTCTCTGTCTCTCTCCATGTGGAGAAAGATTTATAGCTCCTGTAATTGCAACAAGGACATATATAACTGACCCAAGAATATGAAAGGCAATGTGAGATAACAAGTGGAGTGATCCTGCTGCATTGCCTAAGGCAGAAAAGAACCTGACTCACAAACTCTGCATCATAAGCCAGACTGGCTCACCTGTCACCAAGTTTGGGTCCTGCCTTAATTAATTGCTAACAGCACAATTGGCCCCTGTGAATCCCAGCAGGGTTGTTGGCTGGCTGAGTTAAAACTTTGACCAAAACACACACAAAGCATAGTATAGAAATCTGAAAACAGGGACAGCAAAAAGCATCTGAGTTAATGTAAAAGTGCTCTAAGAACTAGAACAACTTGACTGGGCTTAATAAAAATTCATCCTAAATAGATGTTCCCCTACCAAGAGTCTTCCCCCAAGATCTGATCCTATTCCTCAGCCTCATAAAGGCAAGGATCAGCAACCTTTTTATAATTTGATAGCTAAATGATATCAAAATTCAAAGAAAGATCAAAAGAAAACCTATTTGTATGAATGAAAAGACAACATTACTGGTCATTAATAATGTTGATTAGTAATTTTTGCAGCCTGCAACTGGTTGCTGTGAGTCCTTTATTAGGAAGTGGCACACCTGTGGTCTTGCATTAATTAATAAATATACACATGAGCACCCTGTGCAATTGTTTTAGTGCAACTGGCATAGATGTGTTAATGGTTTGTGCTGGGATTGCTGGCAGCTGTTTACTTCTGTCATTTCCCTATTTGGCTCTAGAGCCACAGGTTGTAGAACCCCTAACCTGGGATCATGGTTAGCCACTAGTGTTATCTAAGAGCCACTTTGTCAGTCAGGTAAGATGAAGGGCTTATGTCACATTTCTCAAAGTGACCTGTTTCTGAACCCAACTGCTCCAGAACGCAGAAGCAGAGGCTGTTACAGTGAATGCAGGTTCCTGTGTACCATAAATTGTAGACTTAGATCCCTCCCTAATACACCACTATTAAAGATATTCTGGAATGAAGTAAATCACAGATGATCTTGGGGACAGCAGCTGACAGTTAGCGTTTGTACCACTGATGCACTCTGGCGGCCTGGCCAAAGGTAGGGAGGCTGCAGGGGGCGGAGCTGCATCAGCCAAGGAAGCAATAGGCTAGAGTAGGTCAGCTGGTCTTGCCTGTCCTCTATAAAGGCTTTCAATCAGGCTTCCTCAGCCTCAGTGTGCAGAATGTCTATTATGCTAGTAGTAGTAAAACAGTTATCATATAGTTAAAACAGTTATCATATAGTACAGCCCTGATGGAACTGTACCACTTTAAACTCCAGTTGGTGAAATGCACTTAGAAAACTTCCATGTCAATAGGTGGATTCCATCCTTTGCATACTAGTTTTCTACAAGCAGGGAGCATTTGCCGTTTTATGCGAGGCAGCATTCCCCCAACTGCTGTCTGCAGTGGTACATTCCCAACAGGGCTGGCAGTGCCACACGTTTATTCCATTCAGACCAGTGAGAGAATGTTTGGGCACAGGCAGCAAAGCACAAGCTTTGCCCATAGCATGGCACGCTAGTTGTAACTTTTTGATATGGTAAAAAAAAGAATTGCCCCCAGCACTATCTGAGGTCTAAGCAAGATCTCCCTGGTGCTTGACACGCTGTCTGTGGGCACAGGCAGCACAAAGGGTCTGAACAGGGTTTGTGCCATTGTGGCTCACAGCGCTGAAGTCTCAAGTGAGAAATAAGACAGCTTGAGTACCTGAAGGACCGGGGGGGGGGGGGGTGGAGGAAGGAGAAGAACCGGTCAGGAGGTAGAAATGAGAATACAGTTCCCATTGCAATAAGAACCTGTCCACAACACAAGTAGCCATTGACTGGCACCTTTGTACTTGCTGCTCTCTGGTCAACTGGCAGCTGCAACATGGCACTAACATGGGTTCTGTGAAATACGCTCTAAGAGCCAGATTTGAGCAAACAGTCAAAGGTATTTTGCCATGTTCAGCAAATCCTAGAAAGGCAAAGCTCCCACCCACCCCACTGGTGATGGTGTTACTCACCCCCCTGCAAGAAATAGCAGCCTGTAAACAGCAGAAACCGGGAGCTCCTGGCCAGCGAACTGATGATACCACAGATCCAAATGAAGACAAGCAAGATGAGGCTGAGCGGCAGCAGGACTGCAAAGGCCCGATGCATGTCTGGCAGGGAGACAGAGGGAGAGGACATCAAATACAGGGTTCTGGCTGTGCTTGAAAGGCGGGGTTAAGTGGTCTTCAGGATCACTCCAGCCCTATAATCCTGCCCTGAGACATGTAAAGGACAGATCCATTATTTCCACCCTTCCAAAATGCAGAAACATGTATCTCCTACCATAGGCCAGATAAAGAAGATACCAACCAACCATGCCTCCAGCCCAACAACTGAACGAGGGTACTCCAAAGCTTATTTGGGGGTGCACCATCTTCAGTTCCCTATTCTTCAGTTCTAAGCAAAACCTATGTGATTCCCAGGTGCATCCTTGATGGAGAAGCACTTTTGGGGGAAAGCCAGACTTTGAAGCGGACATCACTCTGAGACAGCTTACACAGGCCGGTCTCCCAGCTGCTAGGATGAGGTGGCCCAAAGGTTGCTTCAGATTCAGAAAGATTTAAATGTCAATAATTGCACTGGAGAATAAGCAGCCAAGAACTACAAACAGAACTGAGGACCCACTTCAGCCTCCTGGACTGAGACCCATTTCAGAAGCTACCCTTGCCCAATCCGTTATAGCCTCACAAAAAGATCCCCACAACCCTTTCCAAGGCCTCCCATTAATTCTCTACTTACAAATAAGATATTGGAGTGATGATGGAACCTGCCAGCTCTCGGTGCCAAATGGATCAATGAGAGGTGTACAGGCATTCCGTCCTGAGGAGAGGACAGAGAAAGGAGGGAAATGCAACAAACACCGGCAGGCCGGAGATTTACAGTGAGCAATGTTTGGGTGGTGCCTCACCTTCTGCAGTTCTAATCCAAGTGGGATATTCTGCAGTTCACGCAGAAAAGTTATTGGGGCTCTGGTGTGGACTAGATCCTTTTATTCAGTAGGCACAACAGCCTCCCCATGTGCTTTAGCAAAGGTAAGCCCAATTGGGATGCCAAAGGCTAAACTAAGAGTGGAGGAGTTGGGGTGATATTTGATGTGTGATGTTTCCTGTTTCCTTTCCCAAGTGCATCGTTTGCAGATTGAAAAGATGGTTTGGGTCATTCTTCTGGGATACTTGTAAGGGGGGGGGATGTCCACTGGTAGCATCTTAGGGCCCTCACACAAGTTATGGCAGCTAAGTCTTCATTCTGCCTTCTTACCACTGTGCCGCAACCCCTTTCTCTCCTATCCTCAGCCCTCTCCAGTGTAATCCAATTCTCTCTGGGGTTCCTACATCCCTTGATATTTCTGGACCTTCCTTGCTTCCCCGACACAGGCTGCAGGTGCCGTAGCCTCCTGCATGCTGCAGCTGTTTGGACACCTTAGCGGGCTTGAGTCTCAGGACTCACCAACCCAACCAAGTGGGCTCCCACTGAAGAAAGCATTTCAGGAACCTGACCAAGTGGGCGCCAGCTGAAGAAAGCTTCAGCCGCAAGGAAGCCAGCAGTCTTTCAAGGTCTCTCAAGACTTTCCAAAGCTCTGAGGTCGCAAAGCTAGGCAGGCACCCCCACACACACACACCAGTGTTCCCTCTAAGCTGAGTTAGTGTGAGTTAGCTCACAGGTTTTCAGCCTCCAGCTCACACATTTTTGTCTTCGCTCAGGAAAGATGGCTCCAGAGCAAACTAATTGATGCAGTAGCCAAATCGCTCGCTCACAACTTTAATGCCAGAAGCTCACAAAGGAGAATTTTTGCTCACAAGACTTCACAGCTTAGAGGGAGCATTCCACCTCTACATCGGGAGGCACCCAGAGCCCGTCCCCTCTCCTACCGCCCTCGGGCAGCCAGCCGAGCCAGCCCGACGCCGAGGTGAGGCAGGCGACAGACCTGGGGCAGATGATGGGCATCATAGTCGGGGTAGCAACACGAAGGACTTTCCTCGGAGGCACCCCCGGGAGCAGAAGAGAACGCCGCCTGGAAGAAGAGCACGGGGAGGGACCAGCGCAGCCTTCCAGCCCCCCTTCCAGAGCCCTCCGAAGCCAGCAACACGGAGAACGCGGGGAGGCTCCCGCAAGCGTTCAGGCGCCGCTTCGGTTTTCTTACCGAGCCTTTTTTTGCTGCGAGGGAAGCGCTGCCCTCCGAGCAGGCGCCTGCCTACCTACCTTCGCACAGCCGCCAGAGTCCGGAATGGGAGCTGAGCTGCTCTGCCTCCCAAGCGCTGCCGTTGCGCCCCGCCAGCTCCACCCGGATCAAGTACCAGTAGTCGGTGCCGAGGGCCACCGCCAAGAAGACGAAGCTGAGGATCCCGCTCAGCGCAGCGCCCAGGCAGAGGGCGCCCGGAGACCCACCGCCCGGCACCATCCCGAGGCGGCGGCTTCCCCCGGCCACAGCCCCAGCCGCTTCTTGCAGTCGGGGCCGCTGCTGCTGCTGGAGTCGGACACGTGGAGAGGCTCGGCCCGGCCCAGGGCGCCGCCCCCCTCGGCCCGCGAGCCAGCCTTGCGTGCGCGGCCCAAGTCCGGCGGGACCCGGAGGAGAGGCGGCGGCGGCAGGGAGCAGCCGGAGGGCTTTGGCCGTCCGGCTCTGTGAGACGGGCGCTGGGGGAGAGAAACGCTATCTCGGTCAGGTCTGCTCAGAAGAGAAGCCCGCGGGTAGGGGCGGCTACGGAGATGTGAAAGGCTGCTAGGTAAAGGTTCCCTTGCTCGAAAGCCAGTCGAATCCGACTCTAGGGTTGCGGTGCTCATCTCCGTTTCAAAGCCGAAGAGCCAGCGCTGTCCGAAGACGTTTCCGTGGTCATGTGGCCGGCATGACTAAACACCAAGGCGCACGGAACTCTGTTACCTTCCCACTGAAGGTATTTATCTACTTGCAATTTCTTGCTTTCAAACTGCTAGGTTGGCAGGAGCTGGAACTAGAGACGAGAGCTCACTCCATCATGCGGCACCCGGGTCTCGAACTGCTGAACTACCGACCTTCCACAGCCTGTAGTTCAGCGTCTTAACCACTTGAGTCACCGCAGCTCCGAAAGGCTCCTAGGCAGTGGGTTAAAACTCAGGGCCTCCAAAGTAGCATCTTCACCAATGCTCCCTCTAAGCTGTGGAGTCTTGTGAGCAAAAATTCTACTTTGTGAGCTACTGGCATTCAAGTTGGGAGCAAGCGATTTGGCTACTGCACAAATCAATTTGCTCTGGAGCCACCCTTCCTGAGCGAAGACAAAAATGTGTGAGCCAGAGGCTAAAAAAACTATGAGCTAGCTCACACTAACTCAGCCTAGAGGGAACACTGATCTTCACAATTCTTTGTTCCACCGGGAGAGCTACCTAGAAGAAAGCATTTCAAGTTAGGTTGGCCCTGGGGAATGGGTGAAGACAAGCTGGCAATATACAACAATCTAGGCTCCTCTTTAACTGAAATGGAACCAGGCTGAGCATCAAAAAAGGCTCCAGAACAGCTTTTAACCCTCAAGGGGAAAGTGGGCAGAAGCTGGAAGCATCTGATTTAGGAACAAGTCATCCTGAAAGGATGAAAGGGTAACCAGACAGGCTAATCTACATGGGGACAACAAGATAGAATTTGACAGTGAGATGGTGGCAGGGCAGCACAAGTCATAGGGAGAAAACTTGCATGACTAAGGCTCTTGGATAGGGAAACCAACTGGTATAGTCACTTTCATGTCAATGCTAGAAACATCCAGTCAAGATGGGAGGGGGGTTTAATGAGTACTTCAGAAATCTGGGGGAGCAGGGAAATGAAGGGGATATGATTATTCTCGGATAAGCTCTCCACAGATAGAACAAGGAAGGCTGTATGGAGGGTTGTTTTCTATGTCAAAGGGGAAACAGAGACCAATGAACTAGAAAAATTCATAGAAATAAACTCATTAACAGAAACATGGGGGGGGGGTGCCAGGTCCAAAAGGTAATTATGAGGGTGGTGCACTATTGCACATCTGACCAGAATTGAGGGTCACCTTGAGATGGGGAAAGAAATAAGGCAAGCAAGCAGAAAATGTTACAATAATAGGCAACTTCAGATTCTGCCATGTTCACTATGTACATGCATATTTCAATTATGACAAAACATTTCTAGATACTATAAATTATTTTCATTAGAACAATTGGTCATGGTGCCTACTAGAAGGGGGTTTATTTATTTATTTATTTATTTTATTTATACCCCGCCCTCCCCGCGTGCGGGCTCAGGGCGGCTTACAACAATATGGCACTCAGTGCAATAAAACACGATAAAACAATTTAAAACAATTTAGTACCATGGGCAACGCCCAAGGATCCCGCGTGACTAAAACCCTCTCTTCATATTGCACATGCCCTTACATCCAGAGGGAGGTTACTGTGGCCCCCCAATGTTCATTGGCCACTCAGCCTCCGGTGGTGCTGCTATACAGGCCCCTGTTGGTGGTAGTGGTCACGGCGGCGGCTCCTATTCGAAAGCCTGGCGGAAGAGCTCCGTCTTTCAGGCCCTGCGGAACTACAACGGGTCCCGCAGGGCCCTGATCTCCTCTGGGAGCTCATTCCACCAGATAGGAGCCGCCACCGAGAAGGACCTGGCCCTTGTGGCAGCAAGCCTGGCCTCTTTAGGGCCCGGGGTCGCAAGACGATGTTGCGACCCTGACCGAAGTGCTCTTTGGGGCCTGTGTGGGGCAAGGCAGTCCCTCAGGTATGCCGGACCCTGGCAATGTAGGGCTTTAAAGGTAAGCACCAGCACTTTGAAGCGAATCCGGTATGCTATAGGCAGCCAGTGCAGCGCTTTGAGCACAGGCTGGATGTGGTCCCATTTTGAGACACCAGCAACCAGCCTGGCCGCCGCATTCTGCACTAGTTGCAGCCTCCGAATTAGTGACAAAGGCAGCCCCATGTAGAGAGCGTTGCAGTAGTCTAGCCTCGAGGTGACCGTCGCATGGATCACTGTGGCTAGGTCTTCGCGGCTGAGAAAGGGGACCAACTGCCGCACCAGCCGGAGATGGTAAAAGGCCGCTTTGGCAGTGGCTGCCACCTGGGCCTCCATCGTTAAGGTGGAGTCCAGGAGCACTCCCAGACTCCTAACCTCCGAAGCTGGCACCAAAGGCGCCCCGTCGAAGGCCGGGAGTGGGAGCCCCAATCCCATCCCGTTCCGACCCAGGCATAGGACCTCCGTCTTCGCCGGGTTCAGCTTCAACCAGCTCAGCCTGAGCCATCCAGATATGGCCTGCAACGCCCGGTGCAGATCTTCTTGCTCGGAGTCCGACTGGCCGCCCAACATCAGATAGAGCTGGGTGTCATCGGCATATTGATGACACCCAAGCCCATGCCTCCGCACAGTCTGGGTGAGGGGGCGCATATAGATGTTAAATAGCATCGGGGAGAGAACTGCCCCCTGAGGCACACCGCATTCGAGCAGGTACCTCCGGGACCGCTGCTCCCCTAATTCCACCCTCTGTCCCCGACCTTGGAGGAAAGAGACAAGCCATTGAAGAGCGAGCCCCTGAATCCCCACGTCGGCAAGGCGGTGGGTAAGCAACTGATGGTCGACCGTATCAAATGCGGCCAACAGGTCGAACAACAACAGTGCCGCCACACCGCCTCGATCCAGATGTCTGCGGAGGTCATCAGTAAGGGCAACCAGTACAGTCTCCGTTCCATGCCCAGGTCGAAAGCCAGACTGGAATGGGTCAAGGGCGGAAGTGTCATCTAGGAAGCCCTGCAGCTGTGTCGCCACTGCCCTCTCAATCAATTTGCCCAAATAGGGCAAATTGGACACCGGTCGATAGCTGGCCAATTCGGCCAGGTCCAGCGTTGGCTTTTTTAAGAGAGGGCGGACCATCGCTTCCTTAAGTGCCTCGGGGAACCGCCCCTCTGACAGGGACTTGTTGATTATCTCCCTCAAGGCACCTCGAAACCCCTCGTGGCCCGCTTTAATGAGCCAGGAGGGGCACGGATCCAGGCTGCAAGTGGTTGGGTGCACAGCTGTGAGCACCCTATCAACTTCCTCCAAGCTGAGTTGATATAAACTTTCCAACCCTGGCGAAGGCGCACAAGGGGCCTCAAGTTCGCTTACTGTCTCAACTGTTGCGGGGAGGACGCGGCGAAGCGTCAAGACTTTATCCGCAAAATAGCTCGCAAAAGCCTCACAGCCAATATCCAATTCCCTACAATTTTGTCTGCCCTGAGGCAGTGCCGTCAATGACCGAATTGTCCTAAATAATTGGGCCGGGCGTGAGCTAGCGGATGCAACCCTGGCTGCGTAGAAGTCTCTCTTCGCAGCCTTGACTGCCATCTCATAGGATCTCATAAACGTCCTATAAGATGCTCTTGTAGCCTCGTCGCAAGCTCAGCGCCACCGTCTCTCTAGCCGTCTGAGCTCCTGTTTCATAAGCCGCAAACCCTGGGTATACCAGGGGGCCAGCCTAGAGCGAGGGCGCAGAGGGCGCCGAGGAGCGATCACGTCAATGGCCGCAGCGAATCGGCTATGCCAATCCTCCACAAGCTCATCTAACGGACCGTCAGGGGGCATCGGATCCCGCAGAGCCGTCTGAAGCCGCATCGGGTCCATCAGGCTCCGCGGGTTCATTGTAGTGAATGGGAACAGTGATAACAATGCTTTAGGTTCAGCCTTTATGTGAATGGAGGGTTGCCAAACTAGTCCAACTTTGCTACATTTGATTTCAGGAGAAATCACAAATAAGTAAAAGGGAGAATGAAAGAGGTCAAACATCTTAAATAGCTTCCAAGCACCTTGATGTCTACTATGACTGTATCTCTCTCTCTCTCTCTCTCTGTGAAAACAAAGAGGTAATATAAAGGAAATACAGAAAGGAAAAAAAGATTACATAGCATTATTGTATATATCAAAGATGATTATATATAACAAAATGTAAGAAACAGAAAATATTTCTTTCCAACACCCCCTTCGTTACATTGAAAAGTTTTGGGGACATTGTCTATAAAATACAATGATACTTCTGTTGGGATACATTTATATCCAAAATTTTACAATTAAAACTAATTTGTTTTGCAGTTAAATGGTTTAAACTTTATTACATACTCAGTATTACATATTTTTGCCACTTCTGCTTACTCACTATTACTTTTAACAAGTAGGTAATATAACAAAAATACAGAAGGAAAGTCTATTATATATCTCATAATAAAAAATAAAAAATATTTCTTCCCAAAATCCACTTTCTTACACACATTTATATTCAAAATGTCACATTTAAAACTGATTCTCATTCTGCTTCTTCATTACAATACATTCATATATAAAATATTTTCTGACTTTGTCTCCCCTTGCCTGGTACACACTCCATCTCTCCTCAAATTTCATATGTGTTCTTTTCCTCAAATAAGTTATTAATTTTGCCATTACTGCATATTTTCCCATTCTTCTAAGCGCAGACAGATGTCTACTTTCCATTTTGCAGCATAGATAATTTTGGCTGCTGTCATCATATATTTGAATATCTCTTCCAAAATTTTTGTGAGTTTGTTAGGCAGTACTGCTTATTCTTGGCTTCCATGGGGAATTTAAACTTTAATATATTCTGCATCTCCATGCATTTCCATCCAATATCTTTTTGCTTTTTTACACGTCTACCACATTTCCTGCATTTTCCTTTGTAGTTTTTATTTGCTTTCTCAATATCCTTTGGAGTTATATACCATAACTAGCATGATACCTGTGCTTCGCTATGGTATTTAAGTTCCGTAAATCCAGTTATAATACTGATGATATGAAATTTGAAACATTTGTTGTAGGAATTCTAATGGAGAAGATTGTAGTGTAAGAAATGAAGTGAGACAGACATCCTTTTTTTTCTCTACCAAAGGACCTCTCTCTAGACCACATTGATGGGTCTGCCCTCAGGTGCTTGGATCACCAGGCTGCTTGATGAGCTCACTCTGGAGCAGGCCACCTAGAACTGTCCACTTAAGAAGCAGTCGTCTGTTAAGTCAACTCCTGCTACTTTCCACAAAAGTGATGGCTTCTCTACTTGTGTTCCTGGATTGTTTTGCTCATATGGAGACTGGGTGATCTCACTGGTACTTGGCCTGTGCAGCTCAGAGCACTGCAGGAGTACTATGTCTTTGCCCATTCCTAAGTTGCCTCCTCCTTGTAGCGTTGGGGTATCTGGCTCGACGTTTGCCAGGAGCTTTCTTGGGGGCAGTAAGAGGTGAGAGGTGTGAGGGGGAGTTGGTGTGAGGGAATGGTGGAGTGGTGGATATTCCTTCAGGTTCATGAGGAAGGCACGCATCGAAATGGCTCCTAGAAATGTCCTTTACTATCTCCCCATAAACATTAATACCCTGGCCCTGCTCCTACACCTGACAGACACTGGTCTGTCTGGTGTTGGGGGAGATTGTATTTAAAGGCACCGGGGAGGCTGGGCCAGCAGCAGGGCTAAGGCAATCCTGCTGAGCAAACCTCCCTGGCCGCTGTAAGCATCCACCACTGTGGATGTAGGGCTGCACTTGACAGACAACTGCCTGTTACGTGTAGGACGTGGGGGGAGTGTGTTGGAAGCCATCAGAGAGGCTGGGCCAGCAGCATTACTGCATCTCACAGGTGGTTGTTGGCCATTCCTGATTTCCTCAATTGTTGTTAGCTGTCTGCAGTCTCCTGTAACTGTTGTTTTTTACCTCAGAACACAGAGCTCTGCAGAGAGTGGCAACCGCATAGGAATCAATGGGGGGAGCACATTTTACCCCTTTTGACCCCCTTAGGGGTCGAATTTCTAAAAATTCCTTCTTAGTGAGCACCTACGTCATGGTAGGAACACTCTCCCCAAATTTGGTGTTTCTAGGTCCAGGGGTTTGGCCTGGGCGTTGATTTTACGGTGAGGGGACTTTCTTTTATATGAGCCACCCTAGTAATGTGCTTTCTTCTTTGCTGAAGAAGCCCAGGAACCTGAGGGAAGGATCAGGAGCCCGGTTTAACTTAAACAACTTAAATGGCACTCGGGGTGTTTTGAAATTAAAAAATAACAAAATATTTTATTTAACATAGAGGGGAAAGGTCATGTGAAATCAGTGATCTAAAATTTCTAGTATAAAATCAGTACATGTACAGACTTTAGTTCTTATGTTTCAGGCTAATGAGAGTTTCTTAAGCTATTCACAGTTACTTAAATCTTTATGTTAAGAGGCTTTTGTTTCAGTGTTTCCCCAAACACTCTAGTAGACCTTTTTTGAGTATTCTCTGTTTTGGTTTCCAGAAGGCTGGTACACTCTTTTCAGTACCCAAACTCTTGAAACACCAGTACTTGTCTTGAGTTTTAACTGACTCTTAAGGTCTCTAAAGGCAGTTTCTAACCACACCAAACTAGGGATCTCTGCATTTTTCAGAAGTAACTCCCTGTTTGACTGGGTAGGGAAATTCTCCTCTCACTAGAAGTTCTATTGCCTTTCTTTGGCCCAAATGGGAGTCTTCGCCTACTTCCCAAACTTCCTTGCTAACTTCCCCCCAGTTCTCCATCTGTGTTAAACTGCTCTCAGCTAAGGCTGAAATCAGACTAAACTCAGTCAAGGCAGAAATCTGACTGACTCTCTTCTCAGCATGCAGCTTTCAAGTCTATCTCTGCTCAGCTGATGCTAACCAATCAGATTGCTTGGAGCAGCCTGTCACTCAAGGCTCTCAGTTTTTGTGAAGAATTAACCCTTCACAGTCCTTTTGTACAGCACTTCTACGCTTCTTAAAAGTGCAGTCTGTCACAACCATCTAAAAACATTTTATATCAATTTTCTCTTAATGCCTGACTGGCTGTAAACTTTATATCTTTTTCCGATGATAGTTCCTATTGATGCATGGATATCTGTTCTTTAAAGTTCTTTAAAGTTCTGCATTCATTTAATCATACATTATTCACTTGTACTTCTGTTTCTAGCTGGAGTAATAACTTATATAACCATCATAGTAAATGCTCTTTTTGTTTTATAATAATCAGCTGTTCGAACTCAGTCACATCTATTAGAGCTCCACTTTCAGTGTCAATGATCTTGTTTAGTCTTGAAGCTGACTGATAATATAACAACATTGAATATTTATTCCTTCATCTCCAATATCTTGCCATGACTTGATTTTCCCCTGATCATTTATCTTAATACCATACATTAAAAATTATTTTTATTTCTTGTGTTCTTATCATGATAAGCATCTACTGGGGACATAATCAGAGAATTTTGAGAGCTCAATAAATTCTGGCATGTAAACCATATTCTCAACAGTCCATCTCTGATTATATGACTTCTTTCTTGTGTTATGATCATTTATACCCTGCTGAGGTCCCTCTGCACCCCAAACCCTGCCCTCCCCAGGCTTTACCCCTGAAGTCTACAGGTCTGGCCCTCCCCTTAGTATTGCAAGCCTCCAGGCAGCACCTGGAGATCTCCAAGATCAGTTCTCCTGGAGAGAATGGCTGCTTTGGGCAATGGACTCTATGGAATTATACCCTGCTGCGGTCCCTCCACACCCCAAGCCCTGCCCTCCCCAGGCTCTGCCCCTGAAATTTCCCAACCCAGAGTTGGCAACCCTGTAACTGGCTATAGAACCACTTTCCAGACCCTTGGAACAGCAGAAACTGATTAGGACTGGCTACATTAGGGGTGTGTGGCCTAACATGCAAAGAAGTTCCTGCTACAAAAAAAAGCCCTGGGTTTTGACAACAAACAAGGTAAACAGAATACGAAGCAAAAGGTGGGTGTGGCCAGATGACCACACTTCTGGTAACATGGAGGTGTGACCTAATATGCTAATGAGCTGTGCTGTCAGGGGTGTGGCCTAATATGCTAATGGGTTTCTGCTGGCAGATTATTTTTTCTTATAAACTCTGAATACGATCTGAAGATCGTATCAATTTCGCTTTGTAGTTGATCCGGTTTAATCTCTGCCAGCGGACTTAGCGCATCACATAACATCTGCTTCAAATTCTCCCCTTTCTCTTCCAGAATGCCTTGGAACCTCAAGACATAGCTTGCCCTTTCTATTTGCAGCGGTAACAAATGAGTCTCATCAATTAATCTCTTTTTTCCCAACACCTGCAGTTATTTATTCATCTTTTTTGTGTTGGCATCAACTTCTTTTAGCTCCTGCTCCATTTTCTCAGCTTTCTGTTTATTCTCAGTCAGTTGTGCTTGTTGTGCATCCAGCTTATTATTAATTGCAGTAACTTGCTCCAGCAGAGGGCGGAGTGCCTCCAATAGCATCCTCTGGAGCTCCGCATTTGAGTCCTGTCTAGGAACAGAACTCGCTGGGCTATCACTTCCAGGAGGAAGCTTAACTTTTGCTTGCTTGTCTTTTGGGTCCCTCACAGGAGGCGCCAAGTTTGAGAGTTGTTTACTTTTTATTAAAAGTTTGTTACAGTCTCTGGAAGTTCTTCTAAATCTCGGTAAGCTCTTACAGTCGCTTTATTCCAGTTCCAATTGTTTGGTAAGGCAAGCCCCCCTTTCTTCTGGCTTTGTGGCGCTTATAGACAGTTCTTAGCGGGGAAGAGTCCCCTCCCCCCCTCGCTTTCCCCAGGTGGGCTACCCAAATTCTTGGTGTTTTCACTTAACTGTAACTCACATTTCATTGATATTTCGCTTCTGTTTAAATTCGCTCGATCACCAAACGCTTGCTCCGGTGTGCTGATCTCTTCCCAATATGGGACGCTCCGCGGCAGGACTTTCGGGGCTTGGAGTAGCCCCCCTTCACCAGCTAGACATGCCGGGAGGGAGCTCTCTAGTGCCCCATGGCTGGGAGCCCGACACAAGGGCTCCTGGGGTGGTGCAAACGTTCGCACCCCCTCCCAGCTGCAGGCTCTGGCAGGCATCTCCCGGACCCCCGGGAAAACGTGTCTGCCATGGCGATCGCCGAGACCGGAAGTCCTCATATTCTTGAATATTCCTCTGAATACTCTGAATATTCTTCAGGGTTCTTTTCTCAGGTTCTTGTATACTCCTCTGAGTCCTTTTCTCAAATTGTTGCATTTGATGCACCAGTGTTTGCAATAATTTTTCCACCACCTCTTTGATTCTCTGATCTTCATCTGCTTCATTTACTTTCATCTTTTTGACATATTCCCGTTTTGCTTTCCTATTTCTAAAAATATTATACAAACCTTCTGTCACGGCTCAGGTGGGGTGTCACCTGACATTGGCACCATTCTGGTTCCAGGCTCCCTTGAGAAGGCCCAGAGCACCCTCCCAAGACCTCTAGACCTCCCTTTTGGCAAAATGATAGGCGTGAGGACCAAGCAGAGTGAACAATGAAAATAGTTTATTTTATAGGTCAAACAACAAGGTGCAGAAATATAACAGTAAGTGGGTGAAAATAAAATAAATCAAATGCCCTAACGCGTCTAAATATATACTGTCCCTAGCTCACTATTCCAAGTGACACTAGACTACTCACCCTTCCCTCAGGATGAGGGTTTCTTCCTGCAGCAGCCTTCCTTCTGGCTCTGCCCTCTGGGAAAAAGAACAGCTTCTGCTCTGGCACCAGCCCTTTTGTTCCCCAGGCCTCTTCTTCCCTATTTATCAATTTTGGCTCCAAAACCTCTCAGGGGCTTCTGGGAGTCATAGGCCCAGCCTCACCTACTGCTAGCCAGGCTCCCTGGGCCTAGTAGGCCTCTGGTGGCACAGCCCAGATCATGACACCTTCCATATACTATTTCCATAGTTTTCTATGCAAGTATACAAGTATACAGCGATCAAAATTTATATAACCAAAACATCCATTATAAGGGGAATTGTTATCTTAAATCCTTATATAAGAGCTATTTGTAGCAGGTAATGAACATTCTAAGAAAGAATAAGAATAAGAAAAGTAGCTTATCTCCTAATTATCATTTCACAATCATTATGTCACCAACAGAACAGTTTTATATCAAGTATTAAAATTTGAGTTTAATAAGAAGGGGAGGGGGTGGGAGAGGGAAGGGGAAGGGGAAAGGGAGGGGAGGATAGAGACAAAAAGGGGAAAAAAGAAAAGGTGGGTGAGAGGGAGGGAGGGAATATTAAAAATGATGGGAATAAAAGTAAAAAATAAAAGTTACACAGGGAAAAATAAATTTAAGATTTTAGGGGGAAATGGGGGAAAGGAAGTTTATATTAAATAATATTAAAATTAATGTTGGGGGAAAGAAAAAAGAAAAGAAAAAGAAAGAGAATATTTCTTTGATATATTGCCATGTAGAAGTCTATATTGGTCTGTTATAATTTACCCAAAGGAGGCAAGAAAAAGACAAATGAGATTGGGGGGGGGGGGAAGTCCACCCAGCATCTTTGCTTTTATTTTCCAGTATTCTGATTCCTTTGTAGCCTCTGATATCAGAAAGAAAAAAAATATTGGAAAAAATTAGCCCAAAATCTTCTTGTTGTTTTATTTACTGGGGAGAATCAGAGAAAGTGCTGGAGTAGAAGATAGTTCTAAAGAAAAGGAAAATAAATCTTATATTTCTGTTGGGCAGTCTTTTGTTGAATCTGCCAGTCTATATGTGTTGTTTCTTTTTTACTGTGTCACACGGGAGCTGAAACACTGAACTGGTAAAGTCGAACGCAGCTGGCAGCCTGCCAATCTTCCAAGACTGTTGTTAAATACTGTTGTTAAAATGAAGCCAAGGTCGTATTTAGAAACAATCCAAGATGAAAATAATTCACAGATTCATAAGAAAAAGAAACAGAAACAGAGGAAGACCGACCTTATAGGCAAGACCCTACTTCTTCTCCGCTGTCCTTGATGACATCAGAACTCAGTGGAGCTTGATAAATCAGGGCCCCCTGTGGATTCACTTCTCAGTTGAGTCTCCCCTCTGGGGGAGAGGTGAGGATAGAAAAAATAAATTCTCCTCCTCTCCTTGTGTAGTGCACCGAACAGCGAGATAGGTCTGGAGCCTTTAAAATGCTCCCGTTCAAGTTACCATTTTCCCTGGAAGTCTTTAAAAATAGTCCCTGGGGGGCCCTAGTTGGAGCCAAAAGGTAGCATACCAATTCACAGCCACAGGATCTAGTGATGGCCATTAGGTTAGAGGTCTTCTAAAGGAGATTCAGCAAACTCACAGATGGCTAAATGGGACCTCTGTGTTCGAGACAGCATACATCTGAATGCCAGCTATTGAGGGGGCAGCAACAGAGGAAGGAGCTGGTCTTTCCAGGATGTCCAGCTGGCTAGACTACATGGACCAATGTTTTGAGCCAGCAAGGCTCTTCTTACATTCTTAAAGAAAGGCAGTCTCCATCAGCGTAAAGGCACTCAATTATTCAGTAAGACTGAAACTGGAATCTTGTGATTAATGGGATTCCAAAGCAAAGCCTTGGGGGGGGGGGGGATTCAAATAATACACTCCCCATTAGTTTACCTACTGCAGAGGACTGCTGTCTGCTGTCTAAAGTACCCACAAGGTACACTTTTATTATTTTTCATATTATACACCAACAAACAACCATACTACATAACATACATCCACTTACACACATAAAACATACAAAGAGATCAGTATATTATCTTATAACTCTATTACCATATTTAAAGTTTGCTTAAGTTTCTGTATACTCTTATCTTTTTACCATAGTTTCTTTTAACTAAAAAAGATTAATAATACCAAAAATTTCATTACTTTAAGCTATGCATTTATATTGTACCAATCATACAGTTTTTTCCACGTCTTTTGAAATGTTGGGTTTGTTGTCCCTCTCATCAACGATGACAATTTGTCACTTTCAGCCATCTCCAACAGTTTATTCACATATTCTTGCTTCTTTGGTGTTTCCATTTGTTTCCAATATTTTGCATATAATATTCTTGCTGCAGTAGATAGATCAAATATCTATCACCTTTATCAAACTCCTTTTGTAAATATGTTTAATAATAATATTTCAGGCAAAAATGGTATTTTAGTTCTCAATATCTCTTGCATCATCTTGTGGACCCATCTCCAGTATCTCTTTGTTACATCACAAAGCCACCACATATGATAAAATGTACCTGTCTTATTTTTGCATTTCCAACATTTATCTGAACAATTTTCATTCTGCTTAGCCAGCTTATCTGGTGTAATATATCATCTATAAAACAGCTTAGACATATTTTCTTTATATGACACTGCCTTAGTCATTTTAATGTTTTTAGCCCATGTCTGGTCCCAGTCCCTCCAAGTAATATTAATATTACTTGCACATGAAATCTTGTTGGTCTTAAAGGTGCCACTGGACCCAAACTTTGTTCTTCTGCGCTTCAGACCAACACGGCTGCCCACCAGGATTTACCAAACTGCTTGCTGAAGAGCTGCCAGCCCTGATAATTCTTCTGTCTGCATATGCTGTAGGGGTCCATTATGCCTTGACCATCAAATGGAATGCATAGAGTTAGATCTCTTCTGAAAAATGCAGCAGCAGTGCTAATTCATTGTCAGCTCTCAACAAGAATTACTCACAATCCCCCAGAGAGGCTTACAGACATAAATTGCTAGTTTATCCTGTCAGCTTTGGGAGAAAGATTCGGTGAACTCTCTGTCAACACTCATAATGTAATTGGACTCCTACAGTGACACTGTTGCTGTGTAAGAACACCTCCCCACTTAAGCTGGAGAAAACACTAAGAAATTAGGTCCTGCCAGACACGATCATAGCAGTGGATGGACCATCTTTTCAAGCCTTTTCTCATGCCATCCTTCCTTACAAAAAGACACTCAGAGAAGAAGTGACAGAACTCAGGAGCAGGTCACACCACACAGTCACGCTGAATGTACCCCTTTGCCCAAAGCAATTGCACACAAATACAGCTATTGCATTCCTCACAGCCACTTACTTCCAAGCATCCTATGGATGTCAGTGGGATGAAACACTTACTTTGGAGTAACCTCAAGTTGACAAGTAGCTGCTCTTTTAATACTCCCCCAATACCTTAGCTCTTTCTCGGATGAGACATTACTATGCTCCACACAAAATAAGTGGGAATGGCAGGGAGATGCTGTATTTTGGCATTTGACTACATGTTCACATTACCCAAGTTTTTCACGTTCTGGTTGCACGCTGCAAATAGTTTTCTGTGTTGAACATGATAGAATAGCACCTCTGCTTGGACCTCAGCATTCAGACATGGTGGGAACACTGGGAAAGTTATTCTTGAAGAAACCAAGACCTGCCTTGCTGAAGGGCAAGACCATAGCTCAGTGCTAGAGTATCCACTTTGGATGCAAAAAGATCTAGGTTCAATACCCAGCTAAAAGGATTGGGTAACAGGTGGCATGAGAGGCCTCCACCTGGAGACATGCTACCAAAAGGCCAGTTTGGTGTAGTGGTTAAAAGCGGCGGCCTCTAATCTGGAGAACTGGGTTTGATTCCCCACTCCTCCACATGAAGCCAGCAGGGTGACCTTGGGCCAGTCACAGTTCTCTCAGAGCTCGCTCATCCCCACCTACCTCACAGAGTGTCTGTTGTGGGGAGAGGAAGGGAAGGTAATTGTCAGCCGCTCTGAGACTCCTTCAGGTAGTAAAAAGCAGGGTATAAAAACCAACTACTCCTCCTCCTTCTTCTATACTGACTTTGTTAGACCAATAACCTCACTCAGTATAAGGCAATTTTCTGTGTTCACATTATCAGATTTAGTATTCTCTTGCTTACAATGGCCAGCTAGAACCAAAAATGTATGGAAAGGCATTTGACTCTGAATTGTGATCCATATGTATATGCAGAGCTCATGCTTTGAGGGGACCCTAATCTTAAAACTGCAAGTAAATCTTTCATCTGGCTAATATGGGCTAAACCCAGAATCATGTGACATACATTGGCCTCTGCCACACGGGGGGGGGGGGGGGGGGGGGAGAGAAGAAGCACGGGCAAAGTGCGGCTTTTGAAAGCCGCACCAAAAGAGACATGCAGCGGCGGGATCACATAGAGCCCCTGAGCCGCCGCTCCCCAGCATGATCAGATGCCAGGGGGGAACCACTGAAGGAAGAGCACGGCAGCTGAACTGCGCGTGTGCAGTTCGGCCGGGAGCCTGGATTGCTCCAGACGACGGGCGCGCCGGCGATCCCACGTCCGCGCTTGATGCGGTGTTCCAAGTAAGT